AACCCCTCTGTGATTCGAAACTTGTAGTCTTTTCTCAGTATATTCACGTGAGTAACCCGCGATTTTTACTTAATTTAGTATGTCTCACGATAGTTATTATAAAAACAAATCTACTCATTATTTTTTTTTATAATAAACACGTTGCCCCACACTAGAATTTACTTCTGTGTCGCGGGTGCGTTTACAAACATATTATGCTTGTTTACCGGCCCTTATAACCTAGCAATGCTTCTTATTACCATTAATTTTAGACTGCCTCATTGGCCGAGTGGTCGCAAGTGCGACTGCCGGGCAAGGGGTCTCGGGTTCGATTCCCGGGTCGGGAAAAGTATTACTGGGTTTTTAAAAAATCTCAGCACGGAGTCTGGAAATGTGCCATATATGGCAATAGGCTCACCCCCTACTATATGGGACTCATAACATAAATAGTGAAATTGGGTGTTACATTATACAGTGGCATTAAGTGCCGTAATTTGCACCTCTGTCTACCCCTTCGGGGATAAAAGGCGTGATGTTATGTTAATTTTAGCATCATTTTTAGTTACTTAGTTAACAGTAATCGACCGGTATACCGACGCGAAACTACGTTTGTGTAACCAGCGAAGTTTGTTGTGTGTTATTAAACTTGGTCGGCAGTTACTGCAGGTTAGCGACATGATGCTTGTAACCTGATTTCTTTGATTCCAGTATAACATGTAATTAATCATATCTTATATACTGTATACTGTCGTGGTGGCCCGGAGGTTTAAGACGCCCACTTCTCATGCATGAGAGTGCAGGCTCGAAACCTACCAAGGGCAAGTACCAATGTGACTTTTTCCGAGTTACATGTACTTTCTAAGATTATTCAGACACCACTGACAAACGGTGAAGGAAAACATCGCGAGGAAACTTAGGCTTATAAATTTCTAATTATAAGTTTGAAATCACGAACCCGCATTGAGCAAGCGTGGTGATAAATGCTCAAACCTTCTCCGTGTGAGAAGAAACTTTGCTCAGCAGTGGGCATTTATAAGCTGTTGATGATAATGATGATGATGATGATGAATCATAATCTAAGGCTCACGACAAATCTTAACTAAAAGATAAAACTCATCCAAAGGCAATTGTAAATAGCCATGGTAACCAAGAACTATATGAAACGTTGCCTTTAAAAATATATCCTGGAAAATATGATGGCACATTACACAAAGTGCAGTAGCGGTATGAAATCTTTGTTATGTAACACGTTCTGGAAATAGTATGAAATATAATGTGTGCTAGCAGTAATTTTATGGGAGCTCGGCTTAGATGAGATGGCTGCTGTTGAAAATTTTTAGACAAAAGAATGGAATAATCTCGAAGGCACGCCTCGCTGCGTTTAGAATAGGTTACGTTGTTCAAGGAGAATTTATTTTCTAATTTTTTCGAGTGATAAAGGTTTGTGGGTCGGTTTTTTGCATAAGTCTTTTCGTTAGGAACGTGAAATCTTGCTGTTTTATCATTGGGGCATGAAAAACTGTAGAGAACAGCACGATAAATAGTTTAAAGTTCTCGATTTCTTCTGATTTTAACTGTATTATTTATAAACCAACCTTTTTTAAGTTGTCTCTTCGCGTATTCTAAAATCTCCCGATGTATAATGATTTTTTCGAGTGATAAAGGTTTGTGGGTCGGTTTTTTGCATAAGTCTTTTCGTTAGGAACGTAAAATCTTGCTGTTTTATCATTGGGGCATGTAAAAGCTATAAAGAACACCACGATAAATAGTTTAAAGTTCTTGATTTATTCTGATTTGAACTGTATTGTTGACAAACCAACCTTTTTTAAGTTGCCTCCTCGCGTATTCTAAAATCTCCCGATGTATATTGATATGCTAAACTAAGCCAAGTACAATTTAGGTTGCTCGTTGATGTAAAAAAAGCTCTTATGGATTATTTAGCACAGAGTCTGGATTTAGACCTAGTGCACAGCAATAAGACCACTATTACATGCAACATACTAGTGGTGAAAACCAACCTTTTTGCAAAGACCTGCGGGTGGCGACGGGTAATTCGCCGCCCGACCAGAACCAGACCAGAGCATACGGCGCGCGGAGAACGCGACTCAAAGAGCTCTCAGACCACCACAGATGGCGCCTAATAGGGCTGATGCTCGATACGAAGCTGCGGAGTACTTAAAGGGTTGCCGGGGCTCAGACTTGAAGATCAGGAGTAGGCATGGCGTGGTTTGTAGTAAATAAGAGTCTGACACACCCCTGATGATGAGTTTCCCCACTTAAAAAAAGAAATGCTAACCCTTTTAGCAAGTAAAACGAAAATGATATAACCTTCAACAATTTAGTGCGCAGATTAATTTGATACAACTTCACGTAAAGAGGTACATATCTACAAGTGGTATCAAATACTCAAGTAGTACCTAAAGATAAGTATATAGACAAATCTTGAGACATAGGCAGGTATATAATTGTGAGATTACGCTTCAATTGAATCAATAAATAGATTTGGAGGGCTTTTGATAAATTGTTCTGTAAGAGCAATTTCTTGAGGACACTTTCTTTTGAGTACTTTTCGTACTACATTTTTGTTTCTTTTGTTTTGACTGTTTGTCGCCCGAATACTGCAAACGTACTTTAATTCTAAGTTGTATTTAAAAATCGTGACATTCGTTGACTTCATCGTGACTGTCTCGTTAGCCGAGTGCCTACTCCTTCGGGGATAAAAGGCGTGATGTTATGTTACTTAACAATAAATCCTACTAATCTATATATATCTAATTCAAAGGCTACTGACTGGACGGATTGAGCTGAATTTGGCATGCAGGTAGATGTTATGACGTAGGCATCCAATAAGAAAAGATTTTGGTAATTTCCATCTCCCAATAGGGTAAAATAGGGGATGAAAGTTTATATGAAGCTTTGTCAGTTTTACACTGATTGGATTGGAATTCAGCATGCAGGTAAATGTTTTGACGGAGGCATCCCATAAGATAAGTTTTTGATCAGTTGTACCCCCAAAAGAGACAAAATAGGGGATGAAAGTTTGTATGAAACTCTGTCAATTTGAAACTGATTGAAAGGATTTTAATAAATTCCACCCCCAAGGGATCCATACGGGATGAATTACGCCATTGAATCTAAAAGCATTGAATTTTTTTGAGTTAGATACATTCGGTAAAACGATAATTTGAGACATGAGAAACGATATACGATAGTTTTTATCACAGAAGTCCTACGGGAATGGGAACTGTGCGTCTTTTAACCACTGAACTTATTTCAGAGAGATTCGGTTCAACAATAGTTGATAGAATATATTTTATTTCTAAAACCGAAACGGGAACGGGCACTGTACTGGTTATAAAATAATTAAACTGATTTTTATTTTATAATCTTTAGTGTAAAGTTGCATAGACCCGTTCATCAATACAAGTAAATCAAGCAACACAAGGTAGTTATTATAACTCATTGAGGAGTTCCCTTGACCGTTTGTCGGCACCATCATCAGGTCGACTCCGGAGCCTTATCAAATTTTAATGTTCAATATTTTTATTGAATAACATAATAGTCGTATTACTCGCCCTCACAATTTTCTAAAATTCCCCTTGGTTTCTCTAGGTTTCCATCATCAGATCCTATCCTGATAAAAATCAAACAAAACAAAACGGTTCATAAATGGCGGAATTAGCAGTGAACAAACAAAAAAAAAATTTCCCAAAATAGTACCTCCTCCATTTTTGAAGTCGTTAAAAATTAGGTACATAGATAGTTTGAGACCTAGGAAACCAAGTATAATAGTTTTTATTCCGAAAATCACACGGCAACAGGGATATGTGTTAAAATTTCGGCACTCTATGTCTTTTAAATCACTGCACCTATTTGATTGAAATTGGGTACAAAAATGGTTTGCAACCCAGGAAAGGAGAAAGCATAGTTTTAATCGCTGTAAACTCACGCGCCGAGCTCTGTACGGGTTAAAACCCTGAGAGGATGTTTATTTTTTAAAATCACGAAAATAAATTCATTTCACAACAAATATAACCCAAGTACTGAATCTGAGCCTAAATTCTGCTATAAGTCATTCAACGCGGACGAAGTCGCGGGCAATAGCTAGTTACAATATACACGTAATGCACAACTAACAGTAATCAAATACGTACCTATGACATTATTATTAATATTAAATATATAGAAGCCCACCACAACCTCACAAAATCTACAACTCCTGTTAATCAGGAACATTTAATCTAAAACAGATTTAATCTAAGAGATTATGCATACATTATATTTTACAGAAAACTGACGTGAAACAACACTTGCGTTGTATTTCGTTGAGTAAGTGAGATTACTGGAGGCCCAATCGCTCAATATCCCAATTCCTGAATCTCCAACAATACTCGAATTTCTAATCCCCAAAAGGCTGGCGCGCCATCGGTAACAAAGTCTATATTCTTCAAACACTAACACACATGACACTTTTAATTGTTACAAAATGACCCACATAATTTCAAAATTCAATTAAAACTGAGTACATTTTATTTTAAGGGGGGAAAATCATTGACTTCATTCTCCCGCCTCGGTGAGGAGATGGAGTGTCAGACTCTAACTGACTAAAACCACCCCGTTCCTACTCCTGCACTTCGAGCCGGAGCCCCGGTAACCCGTTAAGGTCTCCGCGGTTCCGAATCGGCATCAGGCTCAAAATGCGCGCGGAACGCGACGTGCCGTACGCTCGGGAACACTGCGTACTAAGTCTGTATGCGACTACAGAAGCTATGTGTATAATTTATTCATGACTAAAAATAGATTACGAGTTTTAATAATAGGATTAACACGATGACTCTTGATTTTTATTAAAACTCAAAAATCGAAGCAATAAAACTGCTAACTCATTGACATCGCATAAAAAACTGTAATATCAAAATCACATTCCATTAGTCTAATAAATTCCCGATAAAAACGAACTGATTATAAATCATCTAAAATAGAGTTGTCCGTAGTTATCTTGACTGATTTTCGTATAAAACACACGTAGAATCATTCACTTGATTAGTTACGAACACGGCCTCACGATGGTTGGGTTTAGAAAAATTCTGCTGTGTGTCGCATTACAAGTGATCTTCACAGATGCCGCAAGAATTCTAGCGGTGTTCCCCGTACCTTCCTTCAGCCATCAAATCACCTTCAGGCCAATCACTATGGAACTCATCAAACGTGGCCATGAAGTAGTGGTGATGACTCCAGACCCAATGTTCAAGAAAGGTGAAACACCAGCGAACTTGACAGAAATAGACGTCCATGACATATCATACCAAGCTTGGCAAGTCTTCATGGAAGCAGCTAAAGGAAAAAAGGAAGATTTAATCACTCAAATGAGGGTGGGATCAGAAATGTTGGTCGATTTAGTAGATCTTCAATTTCAAACTAAAGAAGTAAAAGAGATTATCAAAGGGAAACAACATTTTGATCTCTTGCTTGTTGAAGCTTGTGTTCGGCCAGCCTTGGCGTTTTCTCACGTCTACAAAGTGCCTTTGATACAGATAAGTTCGTTTGGAGCAATGTTTGACAATTATGCGGTGATTGGAGCACCGATACATCCTTTCTTATACCCTAATACTATGAATCAAAGGATTTACAATCTGACAATATATGAGAAGTTGTACGAATTGTATAATAATTACATGATGGATCAATTGACCGTTGATATGACTGTTGAAGAAAATAAAATGCTGAAGAAGCATTTTGGGCCAGATGTTCCTGAAATAACAGAATTACAAAATAGGGTTGAGATGTTGTTCTTGAATGTTAATCCGATTTGGGAAGGAATTCGGCCGGTACCACCCAGTGTCATACATTTGGGAGGTTTGCCCCAGAAACCGCACAAGGAACTGCCTCAAGTAAGTGTTATATTTTGATACCTTTTTGTATGATTTTTTTTTTATGAACCTACTTGGTTGTTGACTACTTAGCCCATTTTTTTTTAAATATACGCAAGTAGTATTGTTAGATCGACAATGTTTTGATTTCTTTAATGAACCAACTACTTAACCCGACAAATAATTGAATTTTATTCATAACATAACATAACATCACGCCTTTTATCCCCGAAGGGGTAGGCAGAGGTGCACATTATGCCACTGTACAATGTAACACCCACTTTTCACTATTTATGTTATGAGTCCCATATAATAGGGGGTGAGCCTATTGCCATATACCGGGCACAATTCCAGACTCCGTGCTACTACTGAGAATTTTTAAAAACCCAGTAATACTTTGCCCGACCCGGGAATCGAACCCGAGACCCCTTGCCTGGCAGTCGCACTTGCGACCACTCGACCAATGAGGCAGAGCAATTTTATTCATATTGTTTTCATTTAAATTGTAGGCAAGTAATATTGTTATTTCGACTTTCAAACTCATATTGTGAAACTACAAAGACTATTATATTGTTCATTTCATTCACAAAATGATTAAATGTGAAAATGATAAAACGATTAAATTATCTTAGATTCTAAGATCATACAAAGTTCTACATACAACAAATAATCGTTAGTACTATAATCAGGAAATAACTACCAATCACGTACAAACAGCTACATAATATTAAACTACACAATCCAGGTTATCTTGGTCTAGCTGTGTATGATTTTTTCCCACATTTCACGGTCAGTTTATACAGGTGTTGTATAACTATATAAAAAATCAAGATGAACACCTTCTAAACACGTTTCTACAAGTCATCAGCTGTCTTATCGCAATAATAATAGAGTGTAAACTCGTTTAAGATGTGTCGAGTCATAATGATACTCAAGTGGAATATGGCATTGAAATCACTTGTCTTCAATTAACTGATAAATAATATCTAAGTAATATTGAACTTATCTCATGTGCGTGACAGAAGTATGATCTGAAGTAGTGGTCGAGATGTATTGTTTTATTTATGGGCAATCTGTACTTAGGTAAAATATATCTACGATAAAATTAAAAAACTGCGTTTAAAAAAACCGACTTCAAAAACAAATGACAAACAAAAAGTAAAAACTAAAAAGGAAAAAAAAAACTATTAGTGGTCATACGTACTTATAGCTTACACACCCACTGATAGGTTAGAAGTCGGTGCCACAAGTTTTAAACCTAATTATTATATATTCATTAAAACCTTAATAGATACCTAACATTATTGAGCTGTTTACAATTTTATTATGGATTATACCAGCTGTGACTTTTGTCTACTTTATATTTTATTGGGGGTTTGTGGCACCGACTTCTAACCTATCAGTGGGTGTGTAAGCTATAAGTACGTATGACCACTAATAGTTTTTTTTTTCCTTTTTAGTTTTTACTTTTTGTTTGTCATTTGTTTTTGAAGTCGGTTTTTTTAAACGCAGTTTTTTAATTTTATTTTATACTTTTTAGTTTAGTACTTTGATATATTATATTATACAAAACCCACATGGATGCAAAGTTTTCATCAATACACATTATGCAAGTTCAAACACCGGGTGGGTACTCTTAACCATTGAAGAGTCCCTTAGCTATCATACTACTTCGTCATTGGACCTTTAATGACCATCACCCATCTAGGTGTAAAGTCCTCTTCAATACAAATTAATCAAACCCAAACACAAAGTAGCTACTGTTAACCGTTGAGGAGTTCCCTCAACTATCGTACTACTTCATCATCAGACCCTTATTGACAATTACACCCCACTCAGGTGTAAAGTCCTCATCAATACAAATTAATCAAACCCAAACACAAGGTAGCTACTGTTAACCGTTGAGGAGTTCCCTCAACTATCGTACTACTTCATCATCAGACCCTTATTGACAATTACACCCCACTCAGGTGTAAGGTACTCATCAATACAAATTAATCAAACCCAAACACAAGTAGCTACTGTTAACCGTTGAGGAGTTCCCTCAACTATCGTACTACTTCATCATCAGACCCTTATTGACAATTACACCCCACTAAGGTGTAAAGTCCTCATCAATACAAATTAATCAAACCCAAACACAAGGTAGCTAGTGTTAACCTTTGAGGAGTTCCCTCAACTATCGTACTACTTCATCATCAGACCCTTTTTGTCAATTACACCCTACTCAGGTGTAAAGTCCTCATTAATACAAATTAATCAAACCCAAACACAAGGTAGCTACTGTTAACCGTTAAGGAGTTCCCTCAACTATCGTACTACTTCATCATCAGACCCTTATTGTCAATAACACCCCACTCAGGTGTAAAGTCCTCATCAATACAAATTAATCAAACCCAAACACAAAGTAGCTACTGTTAACCGTTGAGTTCCCTCAACTATCGTACTACTTCATCATCAGACCCTTATTGACAATTACACCCCACTCAGGTGTAAAGTCCTCATCAATACAAATTAATCAAACCCAAACACAGAGCAGCTACTGTTAACCGTTGAGGAGTTCCCTCAACTATCGTACTACTTCATCATCAGACCCTTATTGACAATTACACCCCACTCAGATGTAAAGTCCTCATCAATACAAATTAATCAAACCCAAACACAAGGTAGCTACTGTTAACCGTTGAGGAGTTCCCTCAACTGGCTCTCGGCTCCATCATCAGATCGGCTCCAGACCTTTATCAGATTGTAGTGGTTTTTAATACTTAATGAAAAAATTAACAAATGCCCTAGTCACCCCTATAATTTTTAAAAGTTTCCCTCGGTTTCCCTGGTCTTCCATCATCAGATCCTGATTTCCTTATCATGGGACCATTCTGGAACTATCTCCTTTCTAACAAAAAAAGAATTTTCAAAATCGGTTTATAAACAACGGAGATATCGGCGAACAAACATAAAAAAAAAAAAAGCATATATACGGTCGAATTGAGAACCTCCTCCTTTTTTTGAAGTCGGTTAAAAACCATTTTAAAATTTGTAGTCTCTATGTCTATACATACAAAATTAATTATTATGTTTTTGGCTTACTCGGGCAACTGTTTGATAAAGTACTCAACTAGTTGCAAGCCATGCTAGATCTCATATTCAACAGTATTCCACGACACGCAACTCGACAACTGTCATGCTGCTACTGTAAGAAGCAGCGCGATAGTCGCCATTAATATGAGCTTCTAGCATGTCTTGAGATTGGTCGAGTTTCTCGCCAATGAGTTACTTGAGTATGCCGAAAATTTAATGATTAATTTGTAGCTCCTATTACTTCGGTGGTATAACCAGAGTGTCTCCATGAGCTAGAAGATTATCGAGTTCAATAATTTTCTAGTAGGTCTTTTTCTTAGTAGTCATAAGGTATTTCTATTCACTTCTCTTTCTCTCTTGATTGACTGGAGAAATAATGGTGTTTTTTTTTAAGAATATGTCTGTACAGTACATTTTTATGTTACCTTTATAACATTTACAGACTGAAACAAAAAAAATACTCATAAATTCATATTTTTACTAAACATTTTTTCCTTTTATTGCAGGATTTAAAAACATACTTAGATTCTTCTAAAAACGGCGTTATTTACATCAGTTTTGGTACCAACGTGAAGCCGAGTCTACTCCCTCCTGAAAAGATCCAGACGCTTGTCAAAGCCTTCTCAAAGATGCCTTACGATGTTCTCTGGAAGTGGGACAAGGATGAACTGCCTGGAAGGACAGCAAACATCAGGATCTCCAAATGGCTACCACAGTCTGACTTGCTTAGTAAGTTAATTAAATTTTTTCTCTTTATTTTTACAGTTAAAAATTTTGCTATCGTAGATCTGATAGGTAAAGTAGGTAGTGAAAATTGGGTTTAGGAAAATAATTAATAGGTAGGTATTTGTTTTGATCATAGGTTTTTAAATTCGTTGTACAACACTTTTGCTTGAGGAAAGTGTCATTGATTCTTTTTGGGGGTGTGGAGCATCCAATGGTTTCTCCCGTCTTGGGTTAGGCAAGAGGGAGTGTTAGACTCTTACTAACTGAAAACTACCAAGTTCCTATTCCTGCTCGTCAATCCGCAGCCCCGGTAACCCGTTAGGCCTTCTGCAGCTAAACTGTCTTTGACTAAAAATTACCCCCACTGTTTGACCCCAGAAATCACTCACAGTATTCCTAGTGTTACCGTATTCCGGTTAAAACATGTAGAAACATGATAGTACACTAAATAGATTATCTATCTAAACGAAGCCTAGACGTGATAAGAACTTAAGATCAAAATCAAACATTTTATCGTAAATAAACAGGACGATTTTTCTGACTGATAATTATTATATACAAGATATATAAAGATGATATAATACGAGACGAGACGGTAATCAGAGAAACCGCTGAGTCACCATGATGAGACGATTTGAACTTATCACGCAAGTATATAGTGATACCTACAATGTTTCATTCAGTAATAAAAATATTGGTTTTGATACACATACCACATGCTTACAACCAATCATTTTTGTTATCTTTGATTGAAATTAAAAAAGTGTTAATTCATTTTTATCCAAACGTTTTTGGTAAAGTTTTCATTACAATGAGCAATACTTACAAATACGATTTGTCTAAATAATTATTTATTTATTTATTATCTTTAAACTATCAATTATAGTTTGGTGCGAACAAACTTTACTTGTAAAAATTTCATTTTTAGTATATCTATGCCTTTGAACTAGATTTATATATCGACATTATTTTTAGCCTAATATATTTTAGTCAAACAACTACTAACAAAAATATTTTTTCTTCTATCACAGAGCACCCAAAAATAAAACTCTTCGTAACACAAGGAGGTCTACAATCAACAGACGAAGCTATTACAGCAGGAGTACCTCTAGTTGGAGTCCCCATGTTAGGAGACCAATGGTATAATGTGGAAAAATATGTCCACCATGGAATTGGAGTCAAACTGGAACTGATATCTCTAACTGAAGAATCGTTTAGTACTGCTGTTAATACTGTTATTGGAAATGAAAGGTGAGATTAATAGTAATTTCTCGTAATATTGATTGAAATGAATTAAGGAAGTCTGGACTTAGATGTCCAAGATCCAGTAAAACTAGATCAGTGTTGGAAAAGGTCATATTAAATTCATATCGTTTATTTTCAGTTACCGCAAAAACATCCAAAAACTAAGAACTCTGATGAATGATCAGCCAATGAAACCTTTGGACCGTGGTATTTGGTGGATAGAGCATGTCCTCCGCCACGGGGGAGCAAAACACCTTCGTTCCCCCGTCGCCAATATTTCTTGGGCGGAGTATCTGGAGTTTGAATTGATTGCCATAGTCCTTTCAGTTTTATTGGCTGCTTTAGCCATTGCCATTGCCATAATCTATAGTCTGTACGGTTTTGTGACGAGAAACTATATAATTAAGACTAAAGTGAAGAGTAGTTAATGTTTTTAGTCGTTTTTTAATGGTAGTTCAATATTTTTTTATAAATTATTTGTTTATGTTTTAACTTTCGTGAGACATACTAAATTAATTATTACGTTTTTTGGCTTACTCACGTAATTATTTGACGAGGAACTCTCGAGTTCCTCGTCAAATATTTACGCAAGTAAGCCGAAAAACACAATAATTAATGAATGTGTTATAAAACAATTATGAATGTAGTAATTTCGAAGACTTTGAAGATTATTGTTATTATTGTTGTGTGTCGCTATTTAAGTTGTGATATAATTTAGCTTTTAATATAAAGATTTCGTTTTGAGGTGTGATATTCAAAATTCAATTGTGTCGTTTTTAATCGTTTAGTACAAAAGTATTTATTTTGTCAATGTTGAAGTGAGATATTAATTCTTAATATTTTTATGTAAGCAATAAACGGCTCTTATTTACTGTTAAGTGACGTTATTTTAACAAACAGGAATAATTATTATAAGTGACATTTAACAAAAAAAAAAACTACTGTGAATAATAATATGTATTTTAGATAATTGTTATACAAATGTGATAGATTATATTTAAGTGTATAGTTGTTAACCTTATTATATATTCATGTTCTAAAATAAATATAAAATATTATTGTGATTGTAAATTAGTTAACAAGTTAATTTATTAAGTGAATTTTTGTATATTTAGAAATATAATGTTTGTTAATAAATATGAATAATTATGATTTTATTATTTTTCTTTCTGAACTGATAATTTACGGAACAATTATAAATAGACAGAGATGGAAATCCATACCCAGACAAGCTTAAAAAATACATTACGTTAAGACAGACAACATTAACCGAATTTTTTAAAACTTAAAACTAAAAATAAAACTTTTTAATGCAAATTATTCAAAACGCGTATAACCATTTTATTCAGGAAGAATCATTTTACTATTATATTAATGGTATTTTAATAATTCCAAAAATAGTACGTAGATATAAATAAAATCTAGAAAATAAAGATAAAACTGCGTTCATATTGAGGGTAAAGAAATATTAAAGAAGTTATCAGTGCATGAGTATTGCCAGCCTTATGCTTAAGGATCGGAGAAAAGGAGAAAGGATAGACCGGGGATGGAGAAATTGCAAACGCAGTCTAAAAATATTTCCTATTCGTTGAATAACAATCATATACATAGTTAATTGCTACTGACGGTAATGTGTTTTGTGCCTTTAGTTTTCGTAAATTACAATATACCGTTGAAGAGTTCCCTTAACAATTACACTTCTTCATCATCAGACCCTTAATGACAGCCCCACTCTATTTAGGTATAAAGTCCTCATCAATACAAATTAATCAAGCCCAAACTCAAGGTAGTTACTGTATACCGTTGAGGAGTTCCCTTAACAATTACATTTCTTCATCATCAGTCCCTTAATGACAGCCCCACTCTATCTAGGTGTAAAGTCCTCATCAATACAAATTAATCAAGCCCAAACACAAGGTAGTTAATCTAACCCGCTGAGGAGTTCCCTCGACTGTCTGTCGACTCCATCATCAGGTCGACTCCAGACCCTTATCAAATTGTAGTGTTTAAAATTCGTAATCAACCGACTTCAAAAAAAGGAGGAGGTTCTCAATTCGACCCGTATGTTTTTTTTTTTTTTTTTTTTTCTATATTTGTTACGCGATTACTCCGCCAATTATGAACCGATTTGAAAAATTCTTTTTTCGGCGTATAGGTAATACCTCAAGGTTGGTCCCATTTAAATTTACTAATAAAAATAACAACCCCCAAGGGTGGAAAATAGGGGATGAATTTATTTATACGCAATAACTCCGCCGATTTTAAACCAATTTGAACGATTATTTTTTTATTGAATAGGTATTATCAAAAGGGTGGTTTCATGCGAATTTGAAGAAAATATTTCACCCCCAAGGGTGGAAAATTGGGGGATGATTTTTTTATACGCAATATCTCCGCCGATTATGAACCAATTAGAACTATTATTTTTTTGTTGAATAGGTATTATCAAAAGGATGGTTTCATGCGAATTTGAAGAAAATATTTCAACCCCCAAGGGTGGAAAATTGGGGATGAAATTTTTTATGAAAGTCTAGAAGTCCGCTGCTCATCACTCTCCTTTAATATATTTTTAGCATTTCTTTCTCTACTTTCTTTTAAACGCACTTCCCTTTCTTCTTTTGTTTCCTCCAAACGGCGCTGTCTCATTGAGGCTGCGCGTTTAGTAGGCCTACCCATATTAAATGCACTAAGGGTATCTACAAAAAAGTAACACTAAAAATTTTAAAATAAAATAATTAACTTTTTAAAAAAAATAAAACCGACTTCAAATGCGAGAACACAAAAAAAACTAAAAATTAAAAAATAATTCCTAATACCTATTACCTAATACTATAATTTTTCTAAACTATATCAAAGTAATTAAAGTTAAACCATCTAAATATCTTAAAATAGTTATACTTATATACCTACCTATTGTTTTTTGGAGTCGGTGCCAGTAATAAATGAATATTAAACCTAATGAAATAAGAAAAAGTACTCAATGAAACAAAAATATTAAGAAATAAGTTGTATGTAGCCTGGTACAACTAAACCTATACCAACAAAGAATAACAAATACCTACAAATCCTACAATAGAATACAACAAACAAAAAAGAAAGCAATAATTTGAAATATTGCGCATCCGAAAATTCAGTATTTTTGACACGAGCGTCAACGTAGTCTGCCCTCAAGCGTCTGCCCGCCTTCGGGTCGCTTACTCGAGCAAGACCGCACGCGCCCGCGTCCCCCGCCGCACCGCGCGGCCCCGCCTCGCGCCATGCGTCCCCCGCCACCGCGTCGCACGTCTCTAGTTCGCGGGTAAACTTTAATACGCTGGCACTGGCACCGACTCCAAAAAACAATAGGTAGGTATATAAGTATAACTATTTTAAGATATTTAGATGGTTTAACTTTAATTACTTTGATATAGTTTAGAAAAATTATAGTATTAGGTAATAGGTATTAGGAATTATTTTTTAATTTTTAGTTTTTTTTGTGTTCTCGCATTTGAAGTCGGTTTTATTTTTTTTAAAAAGTTAATTGAAAAACATAATAGACGCATTACTCCCCCATAGAATTTTCGATAGTTCCCCTTGGTTTCCCTAGGATCCCATCATCAGATCCTGACTTCATGGAAATGGGACCATCTCGGGAGTATACCCTTTCAAACAAAACAAAAATTTTCGAAATCGGTCCACAAACGGCGGAGTACAGCGCGAACAAACAAAAAAAAAAAACAATCAGCCTAACATAGTACCTCCTCCTTTTTTTGAAGTCGGTAAAAAAAGTCCCAGGTCATTCTAGATACGAATGTCAATCACGGTCGACAACCGTGCTTTATATTTATAAATATTTATATTATACCTACGTGTATTGTGTATGTAATATTTGTATAATATATTATGTATAATTTGTTATATTTACACTCACTTTTTATGTTACTTCGTACAATAAAAAAAATTGACTAAATGAGAAAGAAAAAAAACCATTAAAGGCTTGATTTACGTACGATGTCATACAAATTACAAAGGTAAATTACGTATTTGTTATTTGGAGGTATATATTTATACAATCTATATATATAAAAGAAAGTCGTGTTAGTTACACCACTTATAACTCAAGAACGGCAGAATAGATTTGGCTGAAAATTGGTAGGGAGGTAGCTTAGAGCCAGGAGACCGACATAGGATACTTTTTAACCAAATTTTTTTTTTTACTATTTTCCGAAAATCACGAACGGGGACGGAAAAAAATGGGATGGTACGCGTACGAAGTCGCGGGCAGAAGCTAGTACCGTATAAGTTTATCGAGTACTAGCTACATCGTCGCGGTTGCACACGCTCTGCTCGACTTCTATTGATTGTAACGAGATGTTCTATATCATAGAGCCAAAGAAAGAAAGAAAAACTTTATTTCACACGTAAAACAGGTGACACGTACAGATTTTACACATAAGTTTTTATAAGTACATCTACTAATGTCCCAAGTCTGCGGTGAAATGGGACCAGTTCAGCATGTGCAAGACAGGGCCTCAACTACTGACGTGGGTGTCTCATAGACGGCGTAATCACGAATATAAGAATTTTCTAAAACGTTCAAATAATTGTATTGTAGCTAAGTTTGAAAACATATTTTTTTAAGTTATGCGAAATATTATTTATTGAATTTGAACCAAAAACCGCTGATTTCATTCGAAAATGTTATTTTTTTTGTACTTCCTTAATAGAATAATAATGGACAAATCAGTAAATAAAAGTAATCTATTTAAATTATTTATTAAGGTACGTACGTGTACGAGTGACATACTTTACATCACGACCATCTCGGGAGTATACCCTTTCAAACAAAACCAGAATTTTGGAAATCTAACATAAAAGAAGCCTATATAATATGGTACCGGTATGTAATATGACCATAATAGGTACCAGAATTACTCGTTAATTAATATATGAAAGGTCTCGGAAAAAAATCTTGAACAATTATCTAAAAATTTTGTATCTACGGGATTTTGAGGGCAATAAATCGATCTAGCTAGGTTTAATTTTCAGAAAATGTCGTACATCGTCAAAAACACAAACGAGCTCGGTCATCCAGATACTTTATCTTAAGAGGCGAACAAATTCTACAAGGTGTCACCTAGTTAATCGTACATAGCCACATTTTATTATCTACATACTTTACATACTCACACGTCATGGAACCCACTAAGGTTTTAGTCAAATTTCCGTAGTGCTTGGCGACTGGGCTTCACCCAGTTGTACAGTCTCGTTGGCTTAATTCATTCTGTCTTCTGCAGTAATTCACCGAGGGAAGTTGAAACTATCATATTTTCTTCTCCTCTTATAAATTCTTCTAATTCACATCGTTGCGGGAACCAAGACAGTTATTCATGTCCCTGGGACGCGCCGGACTTCAGTGTTCCGGTGCTTTCATGGTTGTATTTACTGTAGATCCTGACTTACAGGAGTTGCAGCGGTTTATAGAGATTGAGGCGGGCTTGTCCCATTAAAAAAATACGTTACATACTTATATTGTCCTATACATTTTTTATAAACATTGTGCAACAATTATGATGTTGTGGCGACGCATGCCACATGTCAACGGATGACGTCACAAGAATCCTACATCGCACATGCAAAGTTTACAAGCGAATAAACACGGATAGAAAATCCCAACGAACAACTGTTGGGCAGAAAGCCCGCCAGGCACGATCACCTCGCCTGGTCGGAGGATCCTCCTTTTCCGATCTTAGGGAACTATACTCTCTGTTCCCTAAAGTGGTGACCCCGACGTGATTGGAAACAACCTTCACTTCACGGAGCTGATTAGCACCGTCATCCGTATCGCCATCCCTCTCATTCATCACTTCTCCGCTGAGCGGTAATCAAGTCGCAGCCAACCAGCATCCTCGGCCTCATCAGGGACCACCATTACCTGCAACGAAGTTGTGCAGCCTGGTTCTTCCCTACGGCCTCACCAGCGTCTAGGCACAGCACTTCTGCACACGGTCTGAAGGACACCTCCTCCCGTCAACGCAGACGCCAGCCACTACGCACCTACCCTCGCAGCATCTCTTCCCCGACTCACCGTGGGACACTGCGAACGCATCTCTCCGACTCACTGGAGTTTCACCCTGCACCGCTGACCCGACTCACTGGGCACTCAGCGGCACGGTTCCGACCCACTGGAACTAGGGACGTTCTACACTGGCTCTGGCACCACTCATCTCAAGCATCGACAGCCGTCTCAGCGGGATCGACCTCCGGTCTTGGGAGGGAGTGATGTGGCGACGCATGCCACATGTCAACGGATGACGTCACAAGAATCCTACATCGCACATGCAAAGTTTACAAGCGAATAAACACGGATAGAAAATCCCAACGAACAACTGTTGGGCAGAAAGCCCGCCAGGCACGATCACCTCGCCTGGTCGGAGGATCCTCCTTTTCCGATCTTAGGGAACTATACTCTCTGTTCCCTAAAATGTCATTAGAGGTTTTTCTAGTGTATATATTTATATTTTTTTAACATAAATATTGTAGAAATATGTAATTATGACTGTGTTATAATATGTTTGACATGCAGTTAAAATAAATTATATATTTTCCTGTAGATAATAAAATAATTATTTACATCATGTTTTTTAAAGAGCTATTAGAGGTATAATCAAGATGTTTTTAATTAATATATAAATACTTACATGGAAACTGTTTTGTTATTACCTTAAAGGATTGAACATAAAGTAGGTATACGCTTTCTATATATACAGGGTGAATTGAAATTCGACCACAATCTCATATGAAAGCTATTAAAATGTAGATGTTTTTTTGTAAAATGTGCAAAACAAGTGTCATAGTAAATTTTTATGTTAGAGAAGCATATTTTTGAAGCAAAATT